AGAGAGAGAGAGAAGAGCAAGGGAGCGAGGGAGAGAGCAAGAGAGCGAGTGAGGAAGGAAACGAGGGAGCGAGGGAGGGACAGAGCGAGAGAGAGAAACGGGGGAAACAACTGAAGCTCAATCTTTACACAAGCAGAATTTAGCATTTCTCAAACTGTACAGTCTGTATATACAGCTCCACTATTTGTGAAAAGCACTTTTTTATTGAGATGTGGGGGAAGTCATGTCAGTGCTACTCAGAGTTTGGGGTTTAACCCAATTAGAATCCTGTAAAAACAGTCAATTACCATTTTTTTTAAACCACAGCATAGCATCTGGTCAAGGACATGTATTAATACATTCGTAACAGGAATCATCAGATTCTACTCATTCTTTACAAAGTCGAGCATGTCAGTTTAATTACTTAATTAATCGGGCATGTCATTTACATATAAATCGTATTGTCGTGCCATGTTATAGAGATCAATAACAATGATGATTTACATTGATCATATTTTACATCAAAACTTACCATAACTAATGATTCGAGATCAGCAAAGTAGTCTTCTTCGTCTATTGTAAACTTTCCCAGGTTGTTTTTGTACAAAATTCTGGAGAGAGAAAAATAAGACTAGACTATTGAAACATCCCTCACAAAATAGCTCGCATTTACTAACACTTTTTGCAACGTATCACCAACAAACGCTGTTGGCAATATCATCTCATTTATCATAGGTAAATTTTTTTGAATTTTTGGACACGTATATACAATGCAACCGGTGCTGACGGTCCCCTCTGTAGAACAGACACTCGTCTATAAATTAATGAGTATAAAGGACACCTCCACTGTGTTTTTTGTTGCGCAGCCTTTTAATGTACATGTTCATCTGTATGAGTACGCCTTCACGCGTTAAAACTACTGGGTGGGTGTGTTCGACTCTTCTACTGTGCATGTGAATGTTTGCATTTTTGTGTATGCATACGTAAGTGTGTGCGTGCATGGGTGTGTATGCAAGAATGCGTGTGCATGTGGGTGTACACGTGTGTGTGCACGCGTATGTACATGTGTGTATGTGCGTGCATGCGCCAGGGTTCTCTAAAGGTTTTAAATTATAGCATGGGGGTGGTACCCAGTGCTAGGGGGGTCTGCGGGCATGCCGCCCCGGAAAATTTTTGATTTGTAGAAGCTCTGAGATGCAATCTGGGACACTCTGTGTGTAAATTTGAAGCACTGCATGTGGGGTGAAAATGATTTGTTTTGCATGGGCAAAGACATCGGATAATTCAAAATAATTAATGGAATAAAAATACCAAAATGTAGGGGTGAACTTGCTGGTTTGCTGGTTCCAAATCGAGTTCACCTCTCATAAATAATTAAAAAAAAAATTGTCACTATTGACAATGGCACGAGTGGTCGGTAAGTGTACCAGTCTACTCTACCTCGTGTTAGACTGGGATACCTGCCCCGTAATAATGCCGTTGGAAATTAATTCACGATTAAGATTTCTTGATGAGCTAGAAAACACTCGGATTTAAAGTATGAAAATGAACATTATTGTGCCAGCTAGCCTACACCAGTTGGTTGGGATTGATTGTCAGTTTAGATGCAAAATATTTAAAGCAAAAGGTTATACACCATAGATTAATTTTTGTATAGGGGATATATGTATAGGGGGAAATATTGTATAGGGATAGGGTGGCCGTTTGTACTTGTGTGTGGTACTGCCGTACCGGTAGCATCGAGACACCGTGTATTAATTAATTGTTTGAACTTCTCCTGTATACACCAGCATGGCGGCTATGATATTTAGTGTGGCATTTTAGGATGGCGGGGGCTCGCCGATAGCCTGGCGGGCCGCCAGGCTCTAACTCTAAGTGCCCTTGGAGAACCCTGTGCAGGTGCGTGCGTGCGTGCGTGCGTGCGTGCGTCTCCATGCATACTCACCTGTAATGCTCTACCTTGCCCTCGTGTACGACACACAGAGTGTAGTCGCCAGGGTAGTTTGTGCTCTCTCTAACGAGGAAAAGGCCGTTGACTCTAGGGTGCAGCACCTGCTCTGCCCGATCTCGCGTGATCTTCCCATGAAACCAACTGCCGCAGAAATACAGGCAAGGATCACGCGGGCGCGCTGTTTATATACGCGAGACGTCACTCTTCCACAATTTCATGATATGATGATATCTCATAATGTCACCCATTAGATCCCTCTCGTGTAAACTAACAATGCAGGATTATACACGATTTACTCCTCCCTACACCCCACCCCACACAAAAAACACTCCACGTGCCATAATATTAGCCCAACAATGGCTTAAATGAGCGTGGCAGGGCAGGATTACACTGGATCACTCACCCCAGCTAACCCACGTACTATAGTCTGGTAATAGAGCATTTTGACCGGAAAAAAAGACACTTTATTCATGTTTTTGTTTCAAATATTTACGAAGATGGAACAATTAGTAGATATTGAGAATCGCGTGGCGGCCATTTTAGATTTTCCATTGTTACGGTCGTTACGGAAAAGAATTAGCTTGGCACTATATCTAAAATCATTTAGTATACCCTTAACTTCATTCATGCCAATTTTGGTGCTTTTACCACAAAACCCACAATTTTTTCTGCCCCACTATATCACTTGATGAGTCTTGCCCATGCTCATTTCTTATTACAAAACATGTAAAAAAGTGTAAAATATTTAAAAAAAAATTCCATTCCATCTTTATACCATTTTTTCCGGGTAGCATCAATATTTCACCTTCAACTACCGGACTACTATCACAGCCACCTGGCAGTAGCTAACATTAGTGTGTGCACACAATATTACACTGCATCCCTCACCCCAGCTATCCCTGTGTGCGATCACAACCACCCGAGCGGTAGCTAATGCCAGTGTGACTGCACAATATTACACTGCATCCCTCACCCCAGCTATCCCTGTGTGCGATCACAACAGGGTAAAAAATACACGGGAGCGATGAGCGATTCGCTCTTCAAACCTCCGAAATCGCTCCCGTGAGGCTCAAAATAGCTCCCGTAAAATTTTTGACGAGAGCTATTTTTCCCACAGACTTGAAAAAGAGCTCCCGTGAAAAAAAAAGAAATTTTTCCCCTGGATCCCCCCCCAGCATTGGCTTACATCATGTCTCCTAGTTTCTTTCTGGTCCCTGGTTCCCCACTCTGTGTGTTTGCGACGTCGTTGATGTTGTGTCCATTGTCGTAGGGATGCGGCACCGCCGGCACAGCGTGAGAGCGGGAGTGGTGCCGGCCGGGGTTCGTGCAGGGCGTCAAGTAGTTGGCCGGAACAAGCCCCCGCCTTCCTCTCACATCCTCCGCTTTATACCAGTTAGGGTCCTTTAGAGGAAAGACATGGAGATCAAGAGCAGCTACTTTCAGATCAAGTATAATTTGGGACCCCGCAAGTGTGCTTTTGCATTTGTGCTAAACTAATCCAGGGTGCTAAACTAGGCCTGGGCCGGTACCTTCTACCATGAGCAATATTGCACGATACAATGAACAATTCGACATCAAACCTGCTACTTGCCGATGTAAAACTGGGGAATGCTCACAGCAATAGTAGACCTATGTATATATCGCCACCGCAAGCCATTGTTGCGTTTTTATGGGATTTAAAATTTGCTGTTCAAACATCCCATGGTAATCTTATTAATCTTCTACGTTTTTCAGTGTTGACAATGCACGCTATAGTCTCAAATGCGTAAAGCGCAAAGGCGATTAGTTAACGACATAAGTTAAGGTATATTGAACTATGTGGGTTGTAAAAAGCATTAAATTTTGTGGTTACGCATGGATAGCAGCTCTAATAATACCTGATAAAACAAACATAGCAATGCAAATTATCTAAGATCTATCTCAGCATTAATTTCTAGTTAGTGATGTTAAAGGCTGCAGAAGCATTCATGAGGGAGTTATACAATGCAGGCTGAAAACAAAGACACAAAGTGAGCAGATAACACACAACGACAGACAGTCCTGTAGCCACTTAGATACTAAACACACCTCCACAGATTACGATGTTTCAAACGTGAATTTTTATATCATCTAATCTCAATATGGTAATCTCTTCACTCACCCGATACTGTGTAAGAGTTACTGCAATGCTTGCGAATGACGTCTATATGTTTAGTCAAATTAGTTTGTAGCTAGCTGCCAGCCTTACCCGTGTGTGTTCCACGATTGTCAGAATCTCATTCTTCTTGAAAGACAGGTCCTTGTTAGAGTCCGCTTTATATTCAAACTTCGCGAGGACTGTAGTCCCACTCTGGAATATCGGTACCTGATGACAGAAAGCAGAGACCAGTATATATAATGTATACTCGATCTACATGTACATGCACGGTGCTGAAACACTCCCAACTAGTATTCCCAACCAGTGGTTACAAATGCCGTAACAAAAACCATGTCAACGCACATCTATTGAATTAGACCCTTCCAATAAACCTCTAATAAGAGACAATAATGGTAAATATGGGTTTAACGAGAATTTTTTTTTTTAATGATGAATGCATGTGTACTAACTACTAAATTCATGCTCACTGCGGATTAATCTATCAACAGTGCAATGATGATAAACGTCATACATTAATTCTTTCTTTGTCTCTCTCTCTCGGTCACTATCTACACATGCGATAGAAATGCTAGCAAGTCGCAGAATGGTCGATAATTCGAAATGCAATTTCACCACGTGCCGGTGCATGCAACCAGACGACGAGATGTCTTGCAGGAAATAGTCAAACGTACAGGGAACCCCAGTGACAGCTGGCCAGCCAACTAGACACGCTGTTTCACCGTATTGACATTTACTGACACAGTTCCTCTCCCAGATACTGCAAACTTGCCTCTTCCTCTCTACCTCTATCATGCTGTACCACTGCTCTGTGGAATGCTGCCCGGGACTGACAGCATCTCTCTACACTGCTTGGGTGTTTTCCCGTACCCACGAGAGGAGGTTAAATATTACTATTAGCGTTTGGGCACGATGACTCATGGATGTTTTAGCAGTAACAGCCTTATTAATGTCAACTAATTATCGCGACTGTGCTGTATGTACAAAGTGATGGAGAAAATGTTTCCATTCAGACTACCTTCTGTCACTCTCACTCTCAATCTCTCCCTCTCTCACTCTCTCTCTCTCTTGGACACACGCACGTACGCTCAAATGAAAGTGTCAATGACACTGTAGCTCACCTTGGGTGTGATAGAAGAGGGACGGGGGATATTTAAAGCAAGAGTATATATGGGAGAACTCCCATTATATAGCATATCCCATTATATACCCTTGATAATGAAATATGCATAAGTTTTGATGCAAATCTGAAAGTCTGAAATCTTGACGAGAGATGGTGCTACGCCTAAATGATCGCCATTTTGGTTTTCGAATATCGCGCAAATAAAAACAATAAAATATGCCAGTCAAATTACTGTAACGAACAATCTAAAACACAATATTACACGTATATAGGTATAATTGTAGAGTTGTTAACCAGTTAGACAAAATAAACGTAATAGGACGTTGTCATCTCGCCCATAGGAGTAACAACTGTTTTGGGGCTAGCCTTACACATTCACATTTTTAACAAAATCGAATGAATCTAGATGGCCATTTTCATTTTTGCCAAAAAGTGGGTGTGGCTCGAAATTGGTCGACTGGCGTGCTCTAAAATAGGACGTTCAAATCCCTCCCATAGGAGTAACAACTGTATGCAATTTGAAACATGTGGGTCAAACGGTTCTTGAGTTATGGTTGACTGTAAGCAGACACTGAAATGCATAGTGAAATTGCCAAAATCTACCTAATTTGCATAATTAAAAAAAAAATCAAAACTTGTGTGATATGTTTTGGGGCCAGTCCTCATTCATTCACATACCAGAAATTAGCAAAATCTGTTGAACCTGAACTGACTTATGGCCATTTCCATTTTTGCCAAAAAGTGGACGTGGCTCGAAAGTAGGTCGACTGGCGTGCTCCAAAATAGGACGTTCAAACCTCTCCCATAGGAGTAACAACTATATATGCAATTTGAAACATGTGGGTCAAACGGTTCTTGAGTTATCGTTGACCGTAGCCAAATGTTGACGGACGGACGGACGTACGACGGACGACACCCCATGGCAATAGCTCATCTTGACGATGTCAAGGCGAGCTAAAAACATAATTAACTTTCACTTACAATTACATTTACGTGCGCATTCGACGACGTCATGGTTCAGAGTCTTCTGAATAACAGCACATGCATTGTATGATGGACCGCCCGACTTCCGCGCTCGTCCGTTCTCCAATCAAATGCCGTCGGGTCACCAGTCTCAGTTCTCAGGCTTCCGTCTCACAGGCAGTGATCTAATGCTGTATATTATATAGATAAAAAGGAAGGCCTTGCAATCAGAATTATACACTGTACTGGTGCACGTATAAACAAAACTCACAGTTCAATAACAACGCCAGATATATGTATCAGAAGTAGATAATAGGGAATTCCCTATTATCTACTTCTGATATATGTATCCAACGGTTTAGAAACCCCCGATTTTTATAATATAGAACCCGAGATTTTATAATAGCATGCATAGTCATGGGTGTGTCAGTGTGTGTGCGCGTGTTCGCATGTACGTGTCGTACATATGCATGCTTCCGTACATACATGCTTGTGCGGGGGAGTGGGTATGTATATATTCCATACGTTCGGCAGCCTTAGTTAGTACAACTGACTCGAGTACAAGCGGATAGCCGATGTGTTACGTTACACCCCCGAACGCGTAAACACCACCGAAAAAAATCAAAATATTCCGGGGCAGAGCTGTTACGTGTGTGCGTGCGTGCGTGCGTGCGTGCGACCAGCATCGATAAAGCAATGGGATACGTGTATACAGTGCTCCCGTGTGGAACCCTGTAGTTAGCATGGCAGTTGGCATATTGGCATACTATACCCATGAAATGATGGCTCATTTACATCTGTAGCAAAGGAGAATCCACGCGCGTAAAAATTCATTTAGGTCCGCATCAGCATGCGGGGAGCATATAACAAGCGGAAAAACCACATTCTACACAACCGAGAAGTGAAATTGTATATCTATCCATGTGCCGTGTCTCCTGTGACCCACCGCGAATCTCCGCCGATGATCTCCCCTAGCTGCTATTTTTGTCATTAATATTCATCTTACTGGTGCTATTTTTGCTACAGCTGTCATACGATGCGCTCCCATATCCATGTTTAGCATCGAAGTCTGCCAGGTGTGGTCAGTACACGTCAGACGTGCATGTGTGCGATTGATCCTATATGAATGACTGACTGCATGCCTCTTCTACTGACTAGCAATGGTGGACTCAAGCCTGATTGATCCTACATTCCATTTGAATCTACTTTCTACTTGACTATATATATTCCCATTCAATCTACTTTCTGCTTGAGACTACCTTCCCTATCAATCGACTTTCTATTTGACCCTACCTTCCCTTTAGTTTAAATCTGCCTTATGAGCCCACCTTTCCTCTGATTCTAATTTCTCTGTGAGCCTACCTTCCCGTTCAATCTACTTTCTTCTTTTCCCTGCCTACTCTTTGAATATACCTTCCCTTTAATTCTACTGTGGTTAAATCTGTACACCCATCAATCATATTCTGGTTGAATCTACCTTTTCATTCAGCCCCCACATAACAAAATGTGGGTAGCGCAGGCAAACACAAGGACAAGCACTGCAAGCCTACATGCAACAATAGAATGCCCCAAAGCTAAAAGGTGGACTTGTTCAATTGCATTATCAGAACATCAATTGAATACTACACAGAGCACTGCTTACAGGTTCTGAAAGAAATCAGCTGATTAAGACCAGGGACATTATTGGCAGCCGACAAAGTTAAAATGCATCATTTGACCCAGTGACCCACTGGGTCACAAATACGCCGCACAAAACTACTGGCGACAATGGCATTCAGTGTGCTCCATGCATGCTGTGCGCATGCAACTTTTAAATTTGTATTGTACAGGTCCATTTTTTCAGGTTTTCCTAAGATATTATGCTCGAACACATGAAGATATTCCCGGGCAAACGGGGTTTACAGTAATCCACTTGACTTGTCAGTTCTGAATCGCTGCGTACACACGCACACACTCGTGCACACACACATGCACACACGCACGCACACAAAAACACACGCGCACACACCCATGCACACACAAACACACACGCACACGCACCCATGCACACACACATACACACACGCACGCACGCACGCACGCACGCACGCACGCACACACAGTGAGAATAACATGAGGCAATGGGCGACACTATGCAAATTAAGGCAAATAACATTGATGTTTGTCATTCTAGTAAAATAAGCCAACAATCTATTATTCCAGGGGCTCCCCAGCAATTTCAAAAGACACGTTTGTGAATGGATGAGGGAGGGCCCGGGCGGTTGTTGTACCAATTGGAGTCAATCACCCGTGTTATAAGTGGCCCCTATACACAGGTAAACTCAATCAGTTCGGCGACATATACATCGAGCTGTGAAAACAGAACACGACTGTGTTGGATTGTCAAAAGTGACTGCAGCTGAAAATTAACGCATGTCAATTAGGCAATTGAGGAATGCCAAAGGGTTAATGGGATGTAGCAAATTAGCTTGGTAGACAGAACCAACATGCATCAAAGGCATGGGGAGAAGAACCCTGTTAACCTATACTAATATCCATAGGTTCATGCTATTACTTGTACCATGAACCTATAGTATAAATAGGTTCATGTTATTACTTGTACAATGTACCATGAACCTAAAGTATAAATAGGTTCCTGCTATTACTTGTACCTCTATCAACACTTCTATCAAGTACCTATCAGTCGGGAGTTTTACCTACATGTGTGACTACAAGCACTTTAAGTGCACTTCGAATAATTGATTACTGCAATCAAAATATCCTATACATAGGCAGGACGTGCCGATAATAAATACATGCCTGTGGGCTAAAACCACCAGGATAAAAACGTATAATTACATACATTAATATAGCAGAATTTTCGGTTTCACCTGCTCACACGGTTTCCTTTCGAGGGAAATTGTTTGGGCAATACCAGTGCTACAGGTGCACCGAGTTGTTATGACACGAAATGTAAAATTCTGATGATTATGCACAAAGTGCTGTGCAGATATCGACTCAAATAATTGGTCAGTCAAAAACCCAAAAGTAAACATTGTATATAACATTGTATACATTGTATATAATCGAAGGTACCGTGGCTAGGTGACCTACTAACTGCATGTTTACAATCATACATAGTATACACTGCCACTTAACAGTGTTCATGGAGAGACATGAACATAGACTATAGCTGCGTTCACACGAGGATTTCAGTTCCATACTTGAGCGTTCACACGCTAAAATATACGCGGCTTATTCAGTACCGTACTTAAATACGCGGCTTGCTTAGCGCGGAATCATATTTCGCGCCAACTAAGCCGCGTATATTCGGCACCACGCTGGCCGCGTATTGTCTGTCGTGTTAACGCATTCGAATTGCGAAACTGTAGCGCGCTAACCTAGACTGGTACCCGTTCGCTGCATGACGTTAGTGTAGCGTGTGGAACTGTCGACCGGGTACCAGTCTATATTATACCTAGCTAGCTAAGCCTCGAATCTCGTGTATCTCGTGTGAACGCATTTCAGCCAAACTCAGCACCAACTAAGTACGGAACCAGCGAGGCCGTGTATACGTGTGAACGCAGCTTATGTTTTGTCATTGTAATCGCTCATTAAGCACGCGTGATCGCGAAATTTTGTTGGCTATTGAACTCTGCTGTGCAAAACAGGAACTTTTGTACTAAGTATTAGAGGTGTTACAATACACTAGTGTCACGATACAATACGTATCTTGATACGTATCAAAATACACAGACAGAAAAAAGAGCCAAATGTTGTAAATTACATGCTACGATAAATTTGTCATATCATGTACGAATTAATAATTTTTTTATGGCAATAGAAAAGCGTCGCACATTTATTGACTCAGATTTCTACGACAGCCAAGGATAATTACATGATACTGAGAGTTCATAAAATAAAAGAAAGAATTCAATTTAAAAGGAATTACACATGCTTTATTAAATAATATAGCTTGCCTAATTCACCGTTTAACATCCGTATCATTTGTATCATGATACAGACGCTGCGTATCGATTATCATATCGTGCCATCGTGGGCCGCTGTATCGTGAATCGCCGACATATCGGTGAATCGTTACACCCCTGCTGATTATACTACAAAGTAAATAAGTACCACAATAACAACCAGAAAAGCCATTATATAATTATAAGAAAAGCCTTAAAAATTCCAAGTGAAGACTCATGTTGTACCATAGAGCAGTCATCATACCATGCCTGCTGCCTCCTCATTTGAGATTTTAGATCAAATTCACATACATTTTCTTTCACAAATATTTTCACCTAATGTCTATTTAAAATATATCCAAACCAACCTCTATTCTGTATTAGCCAAAACCAAGGCACAGCCACAGGAGGAAATGTCGCATAGCTCAACAAAACATGGCCACTATAAGCAATATCGCTATTTGTTAGTCTCCACTTGAAATGTTCAAATCGGATAAACTATTAACAACTTTTCTGCTCATTATTGTGGATCACACTCATGAATGAGCAAACAATATTTTCACAAATTAAACGATGGTGCAGGTATGAAACCTCAAGAATAAATCGTAATTCTTTGACTGCATCTGCAGGCTTCACTATACTTTTCGGGGCCTTGAACATACACAATAATCATCATGGCGATACACATTGATCAGTGTTTCCCTTGCATTGACACGAGTGAGGTGGCGTGCCTCGCTCAAATTCTCAGCCGCCACACAGAAATTTGTCCAAAAAACTTTTGACAACTTGAAAAAGAAATTCAAGAGTCTCATACAATTGTGTTCAGAATAGCTTAGAATGCACCAAATTGCACTTTTTTCAAAAATTTCCCGGGGTAGCATGCCCCCGGACCCCACTAGCTTGGCCATCACCTGCGCTGCTCACTTTGCTAGGGCCTCGAAACGCGCAAACACATCACAAGCAAGTGCCACGGAGTGACAGCGCTCATCTCACGTCTACTGCGGTAACTCTGTGGTGGAGTGGTGGGATTCTAGCAAACCCTGTTAGTCCCAAATGTGTTCACATACGCGCCGAAACACTAACAGTGGAAGGCACAGGGATGGTATCAGGAACCTTCTCAAAGGAATGTTCGTTGTTTAATCGTTATGAAAGTTGCCACGAGATGGCGCGTACGTTTAAGTGTCTTAAGATTAAAGATGGAA